ACTCCTGGACCCCAGTCTAACTCTGGAAGCCCAGGTTGACTCAGTGGCCAGGGGCGCCTTCCTTCAGCTGGGGAAATTATACCAGCTACAGCCCTACCTGGATGAGCGGAGTCTCATGACAGTTACACATGCACTGGTAACATCGCACATAGATTACTGCAATGCCCTCTATGTGGAGCTGCCTTTGAAGAGGTCCAGCAACTGCAACTGGTCCAGAATTGAGTTGTGTGGCTGGTGAGTGATGGGGCCGCTAGGGAACACATCAAGCCGAATCTGTTTAATTTACATTGGCTACCAGTTGTTTCCTGGGCCCAATTCAAAGTGCTTGTTTTGACATATAAAGCCCTAACAGCATGGGCCCTGGATACCTGAAGGACTGCCTCCTTCCATATGAACCTACCCGGCAGTTAAGATCTAGCCAGGGGGCCCTTTTGAAAGAGATGTCCCTCAAGGAGGTAAGAGGGATGGCTTGTAGACAAAGGGCCTTTTCGGCAGCTGCCCCCAGACTATGGAATGCCCTCCCAACTGAGATTCATCTCGCACTGACGATGATGACATTTCCGCGCCAGGTCAAAGCCTTCCTGTTCTAGGAAGGCTTTTAATCGAAATAATATCAACTGTGGGTCCTGATGGCAATTTTTAGAGTATATATTTTAATTGTATTTTAATTGTCTTACCTTTTTAATTGTATTTTAATGGTTGTAAGCTGCCCAGAGACCTTTGGGTAGTATGGGCGGTATATAAGATAAATAAAATAAATAAATAAATGTAATCGCTGGGACATCGATTGCATCAGATTGTGACCCAAATTGTGATCTTTTCCCATGTGAACATACCCAGAGTTTTAACCCTGCAAGCCCTGGTTCCACAACACCACTGGGTTCAAAGGCACTTTGAATGAGAATGTGATAATGTTGGGCCATTCCTATGTCCCCTGACACCTGTTGGCCCATGGAGGCTTGTGGGTGCTGGAATCTTGGGCCCCTTCCCATTCTAATTCTCAGTGCTCTCAGACAGTACTTCCAGGAATCCTGGAGATACAGTACTGTACAAGAATGGGATATTGTGAACTTAGGCTGGTACACTGCAGGCTTATGGATAAGCCCTCTGAAGGGAGATTCACCTGGCATCTCAGGGACATTGCTAGTTATAAACATTTTACATAAATAATGAACTGTAACACAATCTCAAAATTCAACATTCCATTTTCTACCATCAGCTAGCTTTCCTTTCCCACACATATCAGCAACAGTTATTTTTTACTTTGACATGCAAACATTGTTATCATTAAACTGAGCTACCCAGGATGTTTTCAGAAAGCGATCCATCTAGGTCAAGAACTACCCGTAAACAGGAGTTGCTTTGTGCTCTTTTACAGCTCAAGTAACCCTAAATTGCTTTCTCTACTATTTGTCTCTCACTCTCCAATATCGCACTCCTTTCTCCTGATATACAAAGGGGTTTTCTCCCTTTCAGTTGAAAAGATTCAGAATTTGCCCATCAAGATATGAAACACCATTAAGACCTCTCACCAAAAAAATCACCATAAAGTCAATGCAAACTTTTTTTAAAAGACTATAAATTATACTGCAATACAAGACAAGCAAAACTGAAAGGTTAGCAGCACAAGTTTCTAAAATTCTCACACAAAGATTATTATACCTAGCCAAGTATCTGAGTCCACAGCGTCTGATGAATCAAACATTGTTTTATCAGATAAAACATCAGCCTAGCAAATGCTGGTTTCAACAAGCAAGTTTCTGCATGGAATTCTAAGTGGAAACAAAGCAATAACTCTTTCAGAAATCCTGTAGGCACCCCATAAACAGCTCTGATTTCATAGCTTCAACACTGTGAGCAGAAAAGCAAAGCAAATAGGCACAGAAAAAGGAATGTAGTTAAATACTCATTTAGTGTGCAAGTTTAGGAACACTCAGCTTAACACGATTGTATTGTTCTGATCAGGGCACAGTGAATTAATTCTGTGCTCAGCTGCAACCCGGTCTTTAGAAACTTTCATAATTTTCTTCCTTTGGACTAGCAGAACTTGTGCTACAGAAAGCATTTGGAAACTTTCCATGCAGCTAGTGAGACCTCCTTGGGCAAGTTTGTTAACCCCGGTGTGGAGTTTCAATCAGTAGTCAAATGTCAACAGTTACTCTGATAAAGGTTTGTTGTGGGCTTCTTCTTTTTTCCCCTCTGCGAAACGAAAAATGTACATTGGGACGAAAAGAAGAAGAAGGGAAAACCTGAAATAAACATACCTTTAATTCCCCCCTTAGATATAACCACAAGGTATATAGCTCACCTGGTGTTGTCAGCAGCACCTTGGCCTCACAGGAGCTGAGCACATGTAAGAGAGACTTGGATCGGATGTTATAGTTGACACATGCCATCGTGCAGCCAATCTTCTCCAGACCAAACCAGACCCAGATGTAGGCAGGGACATTCTCCAAGAAGACAGCTACAGTATCCCCTTCTTTCAGTCCCACATGGCTTTGGAACACTCTGGCCGCCTGGCTGCTACGCTGGTCGATCTCTCGGTAAGAATAGACTTCTTCTCGAAAAAGAATCAGGGGCTTTTCTGGGTGTTTCTGGACTTTGGCCAAGAAGATGTCCAGTAAAGCAAAGGAAGGATTGCGTTGGACATACTTGTAGCATCTGAATCCTGAGCATATGGTGCGGAAGAGGAAGACCAGGTCCAGCCAAAGATAGGGGAAGAAAATGTTCCCCAGGAGAGGCAGAAGGATCAGGAGTCCTAGGACAACGGCATATAGATCCGGCATGGCTGGGCTCTGAAGTCAGACCCAGCAGGCTGGAAGCGGCAGGCACACTGCTTGTGGCAGCCTCTGTTGAAGCCCTGCTGGCTGAAAGACAGAAAGCAACAAGCAACAATGAAAGAGATGGAATTCCCCACTCTTCCCTCCCCTTTGTCCCTGCAGGCTGTTTTGAGAAAAAAAAAATCTTGGTTTCAAGTCATTAACCTGCAAAAAGAAAGAACTTGAATGCAGTTATGCTCTTTGTTCCCAAAGTCTTGCATTTCCAGCTCTGCCTTCGGCTTGCAACACAAGGCACCTCGTGTGACTTGAGCAACTTACCTTCCGCCTGAAAAGCACGCCTGAAAAACCTTCTTTGGCAAAGCTGGCTTTCAATATGATCAAAAGCAAGTCTGGTGCAAGAGTAAGGGCAAAACGGGGCAAGCACCTCTCGAACAAGGACTTGACTCCTCCCAGCCTCATTGCTGGACTTGCCTTCTGTAAGTAGAGCCAGCTTGTATGGCCTTGGGCAAGCTGCACAGTCCCAGGGCACTCCCAGGAGAAGAGAATAGTAAACAACTTCTAAGCATTCTCTACTTGGAAAACTCGGAAAAGGGTCACCATAAGTCATAATTGACTTAACAGCACATGATTATTGTTATCACTCTTTTTATGTAGGAGTGCATGCATATATTATCACCTGTCCAGCCCTTCGGCCATTTATCTACAATTACTGACATACTCTTTAGGAGACCAAAAGATTAGGGGCAATCTGCAAAGGGTGAAGCATCTGACAACAGAGGAGAGACAAGAAGAGCCACCACTAGGGCGGGGAGCTAGGACTTTGCCCCAGGCACTGACATTTTGAGAGTGCAAAGCTTTGCTGCTGGAAGACCACGAATCCACTATTGGTATTTACTGAAGGATGGACACAAAGCTGCCTACACTACATCCCGTCATTCTTCCTTGAGTAGAAGGAAACAAAATGTTTGGAGGGTTGAGCATGGTGCCAATATGTCTCTTGTGGGCTCAGATCTAGTCATTCCTCTTCCTCCTCTCCCTCCATGCAAGCTCATGTGACCCATGACTGAACTGATGGGGCAGCAAAGCCTTAGCACCAAAATGTTCATGACTCTGTAGATAAGCGAGGGAGGTATAGACAGGTGCTTTGCTGGGGGCAGAAATGGACTAGAGCCCTGCTGATTTTTCATGAGCCCTCCTTGGTATCAACTAGATGGGTAATCACTTATTGCTCTTTTTTTAAAATACAATCATAGCCATCATCAATGCATTCCCACAATGGCACTCCCACTGGGATTATGGTAGCTGTTGATGTCGTCACTGGAAGGTTACAACTCATACTCCCAGGTCAATGAATTAGGAAATGCCTACTCTTAAGGCAGGTTTTATTTCTTAGAGAGAGGAGATCAAGGAGGGACAGTTTACAGCCACCATTTGTACTCTTTGTGTTGGAGTCCCACTACAGAAGGCATCATCCTAAGCTGAGCACCATCTACAAAATATGTGCGCTCTCTCTCTCTCTCTCTCTCTCTCTCTTTCCCCTGGTTTTCATTTGCACTCTGCTTGTAATCTACAACTAGAGTTTCTCCACACTGTAGTGATTTCAGACACTAATAGCTTAAGTGTGACTTCAGCAAATTCCACATATTATGTACCTTAGCTGCCACAATACTTCCATCAAGTGCCAAATGTGAATGGACATGTATGTGCCTACAACAAATAAAGACGTGCTTAAGAAGTAGTAGGAGTCATGAATGATGACTTAACACTGTCATATTGGCAAGGAGCTATTCAAGACTTGGATCATGATATGTTACCTATCATTTTTTGCAGGTATGCATAAGAACAAACATATTCAGGACATGGGCTCAAGTTACAGGAAGCCAGATTTCAGTTGAATATCAGTGGGGAAAATAGAGAATAATTTGTCAGATATATTTGATTTGGATTCCTGCACTAAGTAGTAGGCATCCTTCAGTCTTGAGAGACTATGGCAACGTGCTCTGTACGGAAGTCTTGGAACAGCGTCTAGTGTGGCTGAGAAGGCCAATTCAAGAGTGACAATTCCTTCCACA